TTTGCTCTTTCAAAACACACAAAAAACGCCGAGTAAGGGATGAAAAAGAAGTTAGTTTGTGCAAAATATCCTGCAGCTTGATGTAACCTTTTGTATATGATCATATTCATACCCAGGACATAAAATCAAACGTCAACTTGCATGTTGTGTGGTCAGTCATATGAAGAGCCAAGACTTTGTTTTTGACTTTGACACAGATTGATCAACAACGACATTGTGCACTACAACCACTACTCTAACTTCCTTGTAATCAACTACTAACTATGACAGAATGAAAGCAGACACACTGTAGGTCTCATTCTTGAGTGTTTATTTCCACCTTAATGATAATTACGAACTACTTTCCTAGCTAAATGTATAGATCTGGGTTTTCCTCAACAATTTTGCATGTGGGTTTTTTTGAAAATCACATTTTGAGAGAAACACATGTCCAACCATATACATTACTAGTAAACTGCTTTTGGTTGGGTTAAAATTCCAAACTCACAATAACTGACATTGCTAGTGTTTATGGTTTTCTACCTAAAGCTCCATTTGAAAGAATTTGGTTTTTGGTTTTTGGTTTTAACTTATTTGGCCTTGCCTTTTAAAAGCATCGTTATACTTACTATGATGTCTGATTGGTGAGTACACATAACTTTTAAAAACTGATGCATAAAAGTTAAACAGTGACTATTTCATTATAGATGGATGATCTCAAAACAACTTTTGAAACCTCATACAAGTGTTGTTGGGCTTATTTTGATTCTGTTTTCAATCCAGGTGTTTATTCGACTTATATTAGACCAACAACTGATAGTAGTCCTTGAAAACAAGTACTCGATGAGTACTAACTTCAGCTATTGATGCACCTTAGTCATATGTCATTTGTTCAGCTTCTTGCCTAATGGATTCAAACAGTGGTGAAGATAAGTAGCGTTCTCCAAAACTGGGGAAAATCACCTGCACAACAAAGATTTACCGTTGACATTAACTAATAATCTGCCATTCAATGCAAACATTACGCAATTTTTTGAAATTTATAAACTTATCAAAGATTACAAACTCACAACAATGAGCTTCCCTGCATTTTCTGGTCTCTTCCCCACCTTTATTGCAGCAGCTGCTGCAGCTCCAGATGAAATTCCCATCTGCAAAAGATTTGTTCATATAATCAACATGAAAAATAATAATTTGCATATTCACAATTACAAATGTACAGGTTCATATGTATCAGGAAGAAGCCTATGGACATTATAGTAAAGACAATAGCTGAATCACAAATTATCGTTACCATACCAGCAAACCTTCTTTCACGGCAAGCAACTTGGCAGTTTCTATAGCCTCTTCACTTGAAATCTGCAGTTCATAAAACCTTGTTTAGAATCCCTTATAATATATAGAAGTAGGTAGAAAAGAAAACATTGTGTAATTTGCTCAAAATCTTAGGATGTTTCAAGAATAGAAAATCTAGCATTAATACGTCTCAGTGTAATTGAAGATTGGTAGATCACATATAATAGATAATGAACGTCAAGATATGTTGCTTTATTAATTGTACATGTCAGAAAAATGTTAAAAACACTATCTATAACAATCTTTGCTGTTGACTGAAATTTATTAGAAATTAAAATTTTTAAGAGCCACATTTCTCATTTAATAATTTTATTCTGATTTAGAAATAAGACCCACCACAAGTTGTAATTTCAATAAATATCAGTCAATGGTAAAGATAGTAAAAAAAAAGAGTGTCAGAGAGAAAATTGCTGAGTGCCAAAATTGACACACAGCCAAGCATGTAAAATCAACTTAAACCACTTCGAGTTTCAAATATGAGAACNAAGCCTATGGACATTATAGTAAAGACAATAGCTGAATCACAAATTATCGTTACCATACCAGCAAACCTTCTTTCACGGCAAGCAACTTGGCAGTTTCTATAGCCTCTTCACTTGAAATCTGCAGTTCATAAAACCTTGTTTAGAATCCCTTATAATATATAGAAGTAGGTAGAAAAGAAAACATTGTGTAATTTGCTCAAAATCTTAGGATGTTTCAAGAATAGAAAATCTAGCATTAATACGTCTCAGTGTAATTGAAGATTGGTAGATCACATATAATAGATAATGAACGTCAAGATATGTTGCTTTATTAATTGTACATGTCAGAAAAATGTTAAAAACACTATCTATAACAATCTTTGCTGTTGACTGAAATTTATTAGAAATTAAAATTTTTAAGAGCCACATTTCTCATTTAATAATTTTATTCTGATTTAGAAATAAGACCCACCACAAGTTGTAATTTCAATAAATATCAGTCAATGGTAAAGATAGTAAAAAAAAAGAGTGTCAGAGAGAAAATTGCTGAGTGCCAAAATTGACACACAGCCAAGCATGTAAAATCAACTTAAACCACTTCGAGTTTCAAATATGAGAACATGAAAACAATTAAGAGCTGAATTTAGGCCGAGTATGCATGACACTATGTTAATTCGACAAGACAGTCTATTTTCTCTACTTAGGATGGCTATTTCTAAACTCATGAGCTACTTTGGCTCATCGACTTTGTCTTGTTCAGTTATCATACAGAGAAACAAAATGATAAATTAGGACCTCCTATTTTTTCCTTGCATATGTTTGCTTACTCTGTTTAATTAATTAATCCGAAAATTTTAAAGCATCTCCTTCAAACAAGGGCCAGGAATATATTTCGCAAGGAGACAATAACCTGCGTATTACTAAAAAGTTACAAGTCCTGTAAAATTTATTTGGCATATAACAACTGCATACAGTACATTATGAAATATTTGAAAAATACAATCAATATCCGCTACTAAACAAATTTTCATTTCCACTATGACATTGTTTGGTCATTCATGGAAAGATAGATATTCATGCATTATTCTAGTGCATTCAGAGCAGAATTGGACTAGCCAGCTTTTGGATCAAGATTGAAAATTGAATGCCAATGTATTAGTGTTAAGAGCTACCTCAATAACTTCATCTAGGATATTAACGTCCAGAATGCTGGGAATGATGCCAGCACCAAGTCCTTGGATCAGGTGCTTACCTTTTACATGTGTGCAAATGATAAAAAAAAGTCAGTAACCAGCAGCCTCTAGTAGTTTACGTAAGGACTGCTCAAGATTAGAGAATAATTTTGTAAGAATTTATGTATGACATCTGAATGAAAGAGACATTTAAACAAATAAAATAATTAGTACCTAGATTACAATTAAAGTTAAATGATGAATTAGCTGATAGGTTAAAGTATTCATACCCCTTTTACTTGTCCTTTAAAATGTCAGTGTCGTTTATAATAAAGATTACAAGTATCCAGAGAGAGTTTATGTGGGGTTGGAGGAGTGAAAGAAGGAGATTAACCTGGGTCAATTGGGATAAAATATGTAAACCAATGACCTCGGAGTCAAGGATATCAAATTGTTTAATGAAGCTCTGTTAAGAAAGTAGAAATGGAGGATGGCTACGGAGAGCAATTGATTGTGGAAGCAAGTCTTGGAATCTAAATACAAGAACTGGATAAGTCTTAAAAAGGAATGCAAAATGAGACACAAATCTAGGTGGTAGAGGGATTTGAGGCAGATGTGTGGATCAACAAATCAGTGAGAGAGGGATTTGAGGCAGATGTGTTGGTTGATAAATACATGACATGGAAGATAGGATGTGGCAAAAATATATAATTCTGAGCTGATAGGTGGAATGGGGAGGAGACATACGACAAAAAGTAGTACAAGTTGTTTATGAATTCTAACCTTTAAGAGGGCTTGGTGGAGGAATGGTAAGTGGGAATGGAATTTGGAGTGGAGGAGAGAATGGTTCCAATGGGAATTACCCCAACTGGAACATTTAAGAAAGGAGCTGTTAGATATTATTCCAGTGAGAGATGTAGTTCAAAAAGTTGTAGAAGATCATGGCGGTATCAGCAACTCATCTTTTTGTTTGGCGACTTGCTCTAAATAGAGTTACAAATGAGAGTAGTGTTTTCAGGGTTTAGGAGGGGAGCAGTGTGGAGGAAGTAGGAATCTGTGAGTGGGAGAAGATGTCCAATTTAGTATCCTGGGAGAAAAGTTTAGAAGGTTTATATTAGGACCGAGTATGTTGGTGTTGTCATCCGTTTATTCTGCAGTATAGCAGACTCACCAATGCAGTTTGAAATAGGCAGATTTTAAAGTGGTGAAAGGTGGTAAAATCACCTGGCTTTCCTCCATTCAAAACTGCACTTTCAGCTGGTTCCACACCATACAGCTGCGGGAAACGAAGAAGAAATTATATAGTTAGCATAAGAAAACTTGTCCCATGATCACTGCCAGCATAGTATGTACGATAAAAAATTATACCTTGATGTCTGGGTTTTTTTCCTTGAGGAATTTTCCAGCACCTGTTATTGATCCTCCAGTTCCTATCCCTGCAACCAAAGCATCAATTTTCTCTCCTGAGTCTCTCCAAATCTCAGGGCCCGNAGATACACTAATGTATGTAAGCCTCTTCATAATATTTTTTTATGTCAAATATATGATTATTTTTAATCTAAAAATGAAGAGATTTTTTTTTTCTAAATTAATATCGACCAAACATTTTATAGACATGAAAATAGTTTTGCCCATAGAAGAGCTTTTTGCTCTTTCAAAACACACAAAAAACGCCGAGTAAGGGATGAAAAAGAAGTTAGTTTGTGCAAAATATCCTGCAGCTTGATGTAACCTTTTGTATATGATCATATTCATACCCAGGACATAAAATCAAACGTCAACTTGCATGTTGTGTGGTCAGTCATATGAAGAGCCAAGACTTTGTTTTTGACTTTGACACAGATTGATCAACAACGACATTGTGCACTACAACCACTACTCTAACTTCCTTGTAATCAACTACTAACTATGACAGAATGAAAGCAGACACACTGTAGGTCTCATTCTTGAGTGTTTATTTCCACCTTAATGATAATTACGAACTACTTTCCTAGCTAAATGTATAGATCTGGGTTTTCCTCAACAATTTTGCATGTGGGTTTTTTTGAAAATCACATTTTGAGAGAAACACATGTCCAACCATATACATTACTAGTAAACTGCTTTTGGTTGGGTTAAAATTCCAAACTCACAATAACTGACATTGCTAGTGTTTATGGTTTTCTACCTAAAGCTCCATTTGAAAGAATTTGGTTTTTGGTTTTTGGTTTTAACTTATTTGGCCTTGCCTTTTAAAAGCATCGTTATACTTACTATGATGTCTGATTGGTGAGTACACATAACTTTTAAAAACTGATGCATAAAAGTTAAACAGTGACTATTTCATTATAGATGGATGATCTCAAAACAACTTTTGAAACCTCATACAAGTGTTGTTGGGCTTATTTTGATTCTGTTTTCAATCCAGGTGTTTATTCGACTTATATTAGACCAACAACTGATAGTAGTCCTTGAAAACAAGTACTCGATGAGTACTAACTTCAGCTATTGATGCACCTTAGTCATATGTCATTTGTTCAGCTTCTTGCCTAATGGATTCAAACAGTGGTGAAGATAAGTAGCGTTCTCCAAAACTGGGGAAAATCACCTGCACAACAAAGATTTACCGTTGACATTAACTAATAATCTGCCATTCAATGCAAACATTACGCAATTTTTTGAAATTTATAAACTTATCAAAGATTACAAACTCACAACAATGAGCTTCCCTGCATTTTCTGGTCTCTTCCCCACCTTTATTGCAGCAGCTGCTGCAGCTCCAGATGAAATTCCCATCTGCAAAAGATTTGTTCATATAATCAACATGAAAAATAATAATTTGCATATTCACAATTACAAATGTACAGGTTCATATGTATCAGGAAGAAGCCTATGGACATTATAGTAAAGACAATAGCTGAATCACAAATTATCGTTACCATACCAGCAAACCTTCTTTCACGGCAAGCAACTTGGCAGTTTCTATAGCCTCTTCACTTGAAATCTGCAGTTCATAAAACCTTGTTTAGAATCCCTTATAATATATAGAAGTAGGTAGAAAAGAAAACATTGTGTAATTTGCTCAAAATCTTAGGATGTTTCAAGAATAGAAAATCTAGCATTAATACGTCTCAGTGTAATTGAAGATTGGTAGATCACATATAATAGATAATGAACGTCAAGATATGTTGCTTTATTAATTGTACATGTCAGAAAAATGTTAAAAACACTATCTATAACAATCTTTGCTGTTGACTGAAATTTATTAGAAATTAAAATTTTTAAGAGCCACATTTCTCATTTAATAATTTTATTCTGATTTAGAAATAAGACCCACCACAAGTTGTAATTTCAATAAATATCAGTCAATGGTAAAGAAAGTAAAAAAAAAGAGTGTCAGAGAGAAAAT